TTATTATTATTATTATTATTATTATTATTATTATTATTATTATTATTATTATTATTATTATTATTATTATTATTATTATTATGGATCATCGCACAGTCAGCCAGATGTTCAGACTGGATTTGGCATTTTGTCTACCTATCGAGTCCTTACCCAGGACCTGGGATAGGCAGATGTGGATGTTTGATGGTATTACAGATCTTGTCGTAGGATGGAAGCAGTTCCTAGTAAGGCTGCCTTTTGCAATTGACTAATGGCGAATTTGTCAATGCCAATGGTGTTCAAGTGGTGCTCAAGTTGTTTTGGGATTGCACCCAAGGCACCTATTGCTATTGGTACTACCCTTGCTTGCCTTTGCCAGTCTTTCTATTTCTATTTGTAGGTCTTTGTATTTTGTTATCTTCTCCAGTTCTTTCTCGTCTATTCTGCTGTCTCCAGGCACTGCCACGTCCACTATCCAGACTTTTTTGTCTTTCTTATCGACAATTGTTAAGTCCGGGGTGTTATGTTATGTTATGTTATGTTGTTGTTGTTGTTGTTGTTGTTGTTGTTATTGTTATTATTATTATTATTATTGTTATTATTATTATTATTATACTAACGACCAGAGGACTACAAGGAGTAGAAATATAAATATAAACCTTTCCATCCTCCATCCTCCAATATAAATATAAACCTTTCCATCCTCCTCATTCAGTCAGAAGCGAGGGTGAGAAGCAAAACATCTTTAAGGAAAAAACAAAGTCCAATTGCCTTTTGAAAAACATTTTTGGGATGTATAATCTGCTGTTCACCAATCTGGCGGTTGGACGGATTGCTTACAAATAAAATAAGTGAAAGCAACATCATCTCTGCTCCACAAATACTCAGCAAGTAGATGCTGGGTTTTCTCCCCCCCCCCTTCCCCTTACTTTTCCTTTGTACTGAAACAGTGTGCTGCGGCGAGGATCCAACGGACATCCACTACGGCTCCATCACAAGAATGCCTTGGTCCCTTGGGAGTGAAGATCTGGATGCTGATGAGCCATGGCCAGGTTCCAGGTAAGGCATGATGGCCATCTGTCACTTCCTTCCAGCTCTGATTTCTGGGCTGCATCCCACAGTCTGAGAAGAAGCCAAGGCAGAAAGATCAGAGAGGGGCAAAAGAATTTGGTCCCACCGGATTGTGGTCAGGCTGAAGCCGGCAGAAACGGCCTTTACAGAAGACCTCACAATTTAGAAAGAGTACAGAGAAGAGCAAAAAGATGATTAGGGGACTGGAGGGTAAAGCATATAAGGAACGGTTGCTGGAATTGGGTATGTCTAGCTTAATGAAGAGAAGGACGAGGGGAGACATGATAGCAGTCTTCCAATATCTCAGGGGCTGCCACAAAGAAGAGGGAGTCAAGCTATTCTCCAAAGCGCCTGAGGGCAGGACAAGGTCCCTTCCAACTTTATTATTATTACTATTATTATTATTATTACTACTACTACTACTACTACTACTACTACTATTATTATTATTATTATTATTATTATTATTATTATTATTATTATTATTATTATTATTATGGATCATCGCACAGTCAGCCAGATGTTCAGACTGGATTTGGCATTTTGTCTACCTATCGAGTCCTTACCCAGGACCTGGGATAGGCAGATGTGGATGTTTGATGGTATTACAGATATTATTATTATTATTATTATTATT